TGCGGATGTAACTATAATACTCTGGCCCGTTAGTGTTTTGGTTTAGGCTAGTTGTGGCCTATGCATTGTTCGATAGAATTTAGTTCCACTTTGGTTATTTATTTACATAAATCAGGCTAGCTTATAATCCTTTTGTTGTTTACATGTTGCACCTTTGGGTTGAACCTTTAATATGAAGCGACAATAAAAGTGTAAGAGAACTGTGGGCCTGTTCCACACGATGAGCTAGGCCTTAATAAGATTTTGGTGCTACTAGAGCTACTCTCTATACAAGTGCATGTGTGTCAGCTCATGCAGGGGACATGGCATGCTTGTGGCACCGAGGGGAGATCTTGGGTATTCATCTGCCGTGAAAGTGGTAAGCTATTGAGGGTGTCAGCCTGAAGGACAGAATCTTATGCCATTAGTGTTCTGGTTTTGGCCTGTTCTGGCCCATGAGTTGTCCTGATGGAATTAGGTACACTTGGGTTGCCCCTGTGTTTTCAAACATAGCATCCACTACTAAAAATTTTTTTTAGGAGACAACCACCTTGATTTAAAGAGGTGGTCATAAAAAAGTATCCCTGTCTCCAAAAATATATAGAAATTTTCAGAGGTGGTCAACACATTTACGAAGACACCCAATAAACTACCGCCTACGAAAATAGATTAACATGAGCATGCCTCTGTTAAAAGAGGCCTAGATCATCTCATCCCACCAAGCTTTAGTATATATTGGAGGTTTACAGAAGCCAAACCACTCCTCTCCCTCCCCACGGCCGAGCAGGTGTGTGATGCAAGGAGGCGATGGGCCAGGTGAGGAACTAGCGGTGTAGAACCTAGAAGCGGCACGCCAGCCAATCTCGGCAGAAGAGGCGGCAGACCATGGAGCCATGGGGGTGAGAGCCCTTCATCCTCTCCCCCTTTCCTTTCTCAATCTCCATCACCCCATTAGCCTCTCACAGATATAGTGGCGACAATGACGGGTTGGATCTAACAGAGGAGGCAACAAAGGAGGCAATGGTGCGGATCCGACGGATGAGGCAGCACGGTCCATGGTATGACAACAGATTTGGCGGTGGGCTCAGTACCAAGCTCAATGGTGGCCTTGTCGACCTTTTATGTTTTTAATCATTTTTCAGAGGCAGGCATGCAGTATCGCCTCTTTTATATGATTAACACGGACACTTAGTGTCAGAAGAACTAGCTTCGACAATACCTAGCAGCTATTCGCATAAGACGAATCATATGGATAGCACACAAGACACAGGGATTATACTAGTTCAGGCATGTGGTGCCCTACGTCTAGTTGGGACTAGCTTCTTCTCTGCATTCGTATGCTCGATTACAGGGGTTGTTGCGTGTAGCTATGCGCTAGAATGTCAAATGTGGGATCCTAATCGGGAGGCCCCTACCCCTCCTTATATAGATATAGATGGGGGGTTACAGTAAATAAATCTGATTGGCTAACATATGTGTTTCCTAGTTTGGTTACATGGAATGCGCAACAAAATGATTCTATCCTCTCACCAAGATATGATGGCGCTGGATATCTTCGGAATGCTTTGATCTCCAAGCTAGTGGATTCATGTGGCCTTCATGGGCCTCATCCCTCATCGTCTTCGGCCCAGTAGTCAGGCATGAATTGGCTATATGGGCAGTAAAGGTACCGGACCCATATATCCGGCACTTAGATAGAGACAAGTTGGGTGCCCGCCTCTGAACATGTGTTTTGACTACATCTAATAATTGTTCTAGTAGTAGTGATATATGGATTAACCATTTAACATGAAGCGAGAAAGAAATGCTATATGTTTGTGGGCATACTCCATACGAGGAGCTAGGTTGACGATCATTGAATGTGTAGGCTAAATTGTGAACTATGTTTTGTGCTTATATATATATATATATATATATGGATCTTTATTGTATTTTGCGTCTTTTGGGGTGCAACTATGGGTGCTAGTTAAAGTGGTTTAGACCAAGTTTCTAGTTTGAATGATATTCACATTTATGGATCCAAATCAATTTATTTAAAAATATATTTCATAATTAATCTAATGATATTTATTTCATATCATAAATATTAATATGTTTTTATCTATAATTGGACAAACCTAAGATACTAAAATATGATACTATGCTAGAATTACATTGTTTTTAGATTGAGGGAGTATGCGAGATCCTAATTCTTTTTTATTTCTCAGTTCAGTCCAATAACTCCACTTCGATATCTAGGCGTCCCGGCTTTGTTTTTCCCTCCACTCCTATGGCAATCGGATCGACAGGGCAGCAATGGCGTCATTGCGACCTGTGCAAAACATTGTCGGCCTGTATATTTGGATGCTAATTGCAGCAATTAGACCTTCTGTTTAGAATTATAGATTTTTATGAGTACTTAAATAAAGTTATAAAACTTGATATTTAACTATAGCAACACATGGATAGTATGAAACTAATAAAGTTATGGTATATTTACAAGTAAATATTTTTATACTTTGCAATAGGATAAAAAATCTATCAAAGTTGTATTTTAATTTGATAGAGATTTAATAGAACATTGTTATGTTATTGTCAACATTCAATTATACTATGGATGTCATGTTCATCATAAAATGAATTATAGACTTTAAATTTTATATAAAGTGTAAAGTTAAAAACATGTCTCGTATTTCACAAATATTTGATATCATTTTGTTGCCATTACAACTTACAACGCACCAACATATTTGTTACTAGTAGTACAGAAAAAAAAAGAAAACCACACAAGCACCACTGTCTAAAGAAAAGACACCCGTCACAACTCACAAGTGCATGTCAAAAAAAGGGACGTGCTGGCACCAGGGAGTCAGACGGGATAGGATTCCATCGAGACGGCCGTTTCCTACATGCGCCTGCACCACGTTCGCTAATTCGCCCTGCCTGCATGCGCATCGTGCCGTCGTCACGTTCATACGACTCGCTCGCAATCCGCCCCGTCCGCCTCGATTCGACTCGCTCCCATTTGCGCACCCTCGCCCCGCACCCCGCCCTGTTGTGCCCCCCTACCGCCGGCCCCCAGCGCACAGCACGCCACGTCCATCGGCCACCGGCTCACCGTGCCCCATACCCCTGCGCTCGTGCCATGCCACCATCACTCCCCCGCGCCCCCCGTGACTCCCCGAATAGCATGAAACACGTGCAACATGAAACACTTGAATACAACATACGTTTGAAACAGATGAAACATCTAGAACATACACTTGCAACATATGTGTGAAAACATATGCAACATCCAGATAGAACATTATTTGCAACTTGCAATATGAAAACACTTGCTGCAACGGAAGACTAGAAAAGATAAAATATTTGGAACATACTGTTGCAACATATGTGTGAAACACATGCAACATCCAGAAAAAAACGTGTGCAACATATGTCTGGAACAGATGAAACATTTTGAACAAATGCTTGCAACATGCCCTTAAAACACTTGCAACATCCCCGATCTACTTTCAACATCCATATGAAACAGCTGCAACGTACCTATGAAACGTCTGAAACATTTGAAATATATATTTGCAACATAGGAGAGGGGGAGTGCCTGTGCCGGTCAATTCCGGCCGTCGGGGTGGGAGCCGGCAACGAGCGGCGGCACGCGAGCACCACTAGCATCCAACAACAGCGCGCGCAACGAGAGGAGTGAAGCAAGCAGCGACGGATTGGGCGCGCGATAGCAGTGAGGGGAGTGCGCGTCCCCGTCTAGGACGGGGCAGCCACAAAGCGATGCGGCAGGGGAGAAGGAAGCGGAAGGGATAAGGATGGATGATTTTTTTAATAAACTCGCAAACAGAGCGAGCGGCAGGTTAAAAGCACAAGTAACGAGGGTGTCCGACGATTTGTGCTCACGTCCAACGTAACGCGTAGCATTACGGAAAAAAAAAGGAAAAAAACAGACTACTGGCACCCTGCCGGCTGGAATCACAACTACTGGCCGCACAAGCACAGCAGCCGGCCCATGTCAGCCCAAGAGGCCCAGCGCATGGAAAGCCTGGTGGGTACCAGTCGCCGTTCGATCCCAGCAAAGGTGCGATCTCATTTCATTGAATTCGTTCTCCTGCGGCCCCGCCCTGCTGCTGCTTTGTGTGTTCTCCGGTCCGGTCCGGTCCGGCCGTTCTCCTGTGGCCCTCGCGTCGCGTGCACTCTCTGTCTTCAGCGGCGACGAGTGGGCGACTGCCGCCGCCGCCCTACGCCAGGTCTCCATCTTCTGGCCTTCGCCGGTGACCAGCTCCCACCAGGTGCGCCCATCCCCTCCTTCTCTTTCGTTCCTGCTGTGCGAAACCGAATACCCAAACCCTAACTTAATTTATTTGTAGTCGGATCTGATTTGATCCAATTTCAGGTCTAGTATGCATACATGATGCATCGATGCCTACAAACTTTTTGTCTACGAACCTTGTGCCCCAACACTAAACCCTTCTATGTGTACTAATGATTTGGTTTATGAAATGTTCTTCTCTTTTAATTTATGTAATGTACTTGCTGCCATCTGAACTTAATTGAAATTTAAAATGACATCACTCTTTCTTCTCGTGTTACCTTTTTATTACTGGATTTTGTACGGGGTCCCTTCCCCTTAAAAGGTGTACTCTTTTTTCCCCTTGAAGGAATAGCAGATGAAATTGTTAGAAATGCATACTTTTGGTTAATTGTGGGTCGGTTTTCCTTGCTGGTGGTTTATTCCATTCCTACTGTAACTATAATGTTCTCTAGTTTTTCTTGTTCTTGGTGAAGCATAAGCTGTCCTGGGTTCGAGTCGCGGTCTCCTCGCATTGCACAAGCGAAGGTAAGGCTTGCCACTGACACCCTTCCCTAGACCCCCACGGAGCGGGAGCTCTCTACACTGGGTATGCCCTTGAAGCATAAGCTGATTTATTGTGTAGTGCATGTTCCCTGACAATGGCACCATCCAGCCACTTAGTTTGGCTGAACTTAACGGTAGTCCACATCAGCCATGAGCTGGTCGAAGATCTTGCTGGCTTTCAAACCAGGGAGACAAGGAAGAGGAGGTGAGATGTCGATGATGGCTGACCCTCAGGCCGTTTCAACTTAAATTTGAAAACAACATGGCCTTGCATTCCATTCTGCACCCAGTCATCTACAACCTTGTAAAGCCCATCGTAGGTGTAGACCTTTCTAGTATAGCTATTCTTTGACAAATGACCTCGAATAACTCGGACAGGATTACCATTGTCCCTGGTATTCTTCAATGCTAAATTCCCACGTGTCAACTGTTGAGAGACAATTTGGTGATGGTTATAAAGTAAATCATTTCCTCCTTGACTAGTATAAATAATTTCATCAGCCTTGTCTAGATTATCTTCAGATATCCCCGACATTATGATACAGGTGACGATGGGAAAGTTAAGTTCTCATACTAATTCTTTCCTTTGGTCTGACGTTTGAGGCCACCCTTAGCCTCAATCTCCTATAGCACTGGCCAAATTACTCCTGATGTAAACAGACGAAAGAAAGGTGGAAAACTCATGACATTTAACTGCGTCAACGTAGAGGATGTTCCGGGGGCTAGACACCTTCGCGTTGGGGTTGAGGCTGATGTTGCTTGAACAGCATATTGTCCATTGTGTGCAAACCGCTCCAAAACTCATTTAGTCTTTATATGAAGTTGTTCCACTATTTGGGATGAGTCTAGTACCCAACATGATAATGTTACTTATTGATCAATGTTTCTTCTAGGGAGATTAATGATAAATTCTTCCTTTGATTACAAAAGAAAGCACCATGTCGTCATAGAGTGTGGCCCAAACATTAAGGATTGAAAGGTAGAGCTAATTGTAGTTCTAACCATCTTGCATGGCAAGTTAGCAGAATTAGGGAGTTGAGCCACTGTTTGATAGTGTCCAGCATTTGTATCGATGCCTTACATGATAGTTATGCTTTTACTTTTCGTTTTTTGCTCCTTTTCTGTTGTCTTGATTTGCTTTGTTTTCTTCACCCTTTATTAGATGGCAAGCATTGCTTATTGAAGCATGGTCATGTTTTGTTTTATTCTTTCTATTTCTCTTTTGCTTATAAATGTTCATTCATGACAAACATGGCAAGCAATCCATCTTTGTGCAATAACTTGAGGTCTATTTGGTATACGACAATAACTTACGTTAAGTAAGATATTAAAATGCTATTATGTTGCCTTTTTCACAATAGTCTTCTGTTTGGGCGCTCGATCAGGTCCAAAGCAGAAAAATCTTGAGTGTAGCTTTGCTGAAAAATTACAAGTAAAAGAAAAATAAAACACAAAACAATATGTGCTTCAGGATATCTCACAATGTGCATTTTAGTTAGCCTGAGATGCATGCCCAAGGCTACATTTACTGCAAGTAGGATCCTATCTCTCCCAAGACATGTTTATGGCAATAGTGCACTTTATAGATAACAAAACATGTATCTGTGATACGGAAATAGAGACCTGACTTGTATAAGTATGCCAGATAACGATGCAAGTATGAACCCCAGAGAATAGAATTTATGTGACCATTTGGCCTCAACCAAGGAATTTATGATGTGGATGGATGAATGGATGATATGAAATCCTCTTGCTGTATGGCAGCTTTGTATATACATATACGATATGGTCCACACGAACTCTTTCATGATTTACAGATTTAGTCCTGTGGTATTTTTTTATCTCATTTCTAAATTTGTATTTTGCAGGGACATTTCCAGTGCAGGTACCCAAGTATGGCGGCAAGACGCAATGTTCGGTACTCACCTCTTCCTTCAGAGGATGGGGGCGACAACAATTTTACTAAAGAAGATGTTGACCTCCGATACACTTAAGCCCCCTTTGGCACGGCTCATCCAAAACGGCTTCACCGGTGAAGCCAAAGGTGAAGCCAGAAAAACTGGCTTTTCCCGGCTTCTAGTTCATTTTAACCCCGGCTTACAAAACGGCTTCACGCTACAGTGCCTCGATTTGCGCAAAATAGATGAAGCCGAAGCCGGCATAAGCCGTGCCAAAGAGGCCTTTACACTCCAAAATCCTACAGAAGGATCCCATGGAAGTCAATTGCCCTGGCATTGTTCCTCCTCCTCCTAGGAACTTCGCTTCTCTTTCTTTCTTACTTCATATTCACAGGTCACATGGAGGGTGATAGTTCTCAGGTATATGGTCTCTTGTTCCTGGGTTTCCTTTCGTTTCTTCCTGGTATGTTAATCTAACTACTTTTATGCATTTATTTCCTCAGCATGAATGATTTTTTTTTATTTTGTTAGTTTCACTGTCTTTTAGCTTCAAAAGTACCTATTCGTGTAGTTATTCTCCAGTTGCATCTCATGCCTTCAGAGTGAAATTTATTGCCGTAGACAAGATTGGAAAGTTTCATATAAAAATAAGGCACTTTGCATCATTGTTATGTAATCAATAGGTTTCTTGGTCGCTTAAAACAATGCTGGTCTGCTGTTTGGAATCACAGTTTTTATTGTTGATGAAAGCGAACTGTTCACACTTTTGCATCGCAAGGAGTTATGTGCTATGGTTGGGGAAAGTGGAAGCTTTACTTTTTTTTTACATACTTGCAGGTTTCTACGAGACTCGAGTTGCTTACTATTCATGGCGGGGAGCACCAGGGTACACTTTTGCATCCATACCAGATTATTAGCCTTTCAGTTCGCGCCACTGATGCAGTAAGGATAATGGTCAAGCAAACAAGTGATAAAGAGTTAGCATGTAGATGTAGTGGCTCAAATGATTGTTGTGTTTATAAGATGATATTACTTCATCAGTCAGCAAAAGAGTAATCCTTATGCTATTGTAAAGAGCAAAGGTTGATTTTGCAATTGCTTGATATTTCCTTGTCAATGTCACAGAAATTAGTTCCACCAGTATGTGTTTATCTGATGATATCTGTTGATGAAGATACTATGTACGCCATTTGGGGCTTGAGTATATGGAGCAAGTTGCGGTCGGTACTGTGGCTGCACCAGAACCCAGTCCATGCCCTTTTTTAAGGGGGTGGGGTGCATATTTCTGGCATGCTTAGAATGTTGTGGAAACTGGAATGAGGAGAGGCAGGGAGCTTCTGATCGTGGTAGGAAGCTGAACGCGGAGAAAAGGGCCAATAATGGATCACGTAGTCTGGAAATTCAAATGCAATATATCTGTTATATCTGTTATCTGAGCTAGGCCATGGCAATGGCAAGGTCGTGGCTCTGGTTGGTTGGACTTGACCTGCCTTTCAGCTTTAGCACTCTCGCCATCCCAAATCATAAATCATTTTAACTTTTTTTTTGAGTCAAAGCATCTCAAGTTTGACCAAAACCTGAACATGAGTCCAATAAATAATTATCAACCTGGGACTAAAACTTGCAAGTCTCACAGATGTTATTAGTCCCTTAATCGTTTTATCATTCAATTCACCGAAATCTACTTAGGGTCTAGAAGTCGTTCGATACTTTTCGAGGAATGACTTTACTCCATAGATTTTTTTTTGTGTTGGCCTAGGGAAACATTTTATGAGAAATGATTAGCGACGGACGTGTCGATCAACTGCACGGCGTAAACTAAATGAGGCGTGAGCTTGATGTTTCCTCTATCCTAGTATATAAGACAACTGTCTAAAACATAGAAGCCAAGAAAACATATTTAGGCCCTATTTGATGCAAAGTATTTTTAAAATACTGGAGAAATACTATGGTTTTACAAAATACTTTGGTTTTTAGAAGCTGCTAAGTGTTTGGATGCAACAAATCTTGTAGTCTCTAAAACCATGGTTTTGTGAAAACTGTAGATTTTTTGAAGTTTTAGAAACTCCACTGATAACCTCTCTTTTTTAAACCACGGTTTTGTCTCTTTGACTTATAAAACCACAGTTTTGTGATACTACAGTTTTTGAAAACCGCATCATTCAAACAGGCCCTTAGATCATATTTGGGGGAACTTTTGGGTTTCTGGCAGCTTTTGCTTTCCCATAAAGCTCGAAAAGCTAGAAGTTCCTCTAAACATAGATGTTTCTTTAAACTAACAAAAGCTCTAAAAGCTACACTTTATACTTAAAGCAAAGAAACTCCCTCAGAGCAGCTTCCCAAGCTCTTCTAAGAAACTTGTCCAGGACATGCTTTTGAAAAGGCTACCACTCTCCCAAACTGGTCCTTACTTCCGCACATACTGAGGTTGGACGCTTGGTTTTACCACGTGCACTTCTCTTGCACCTAATTATAAGTGCCCACTTGCTTACATGCTTGTATGCACCCAACAACTTGCATGCCCATGGAGGGCGACTAAACAAAAATGTAATTATGCATGGAGGGAGTACTAACTTATTTAGTTTGAATCTGAATTGCACCAGTCAAGATGCAGATAGGACAAGATGATGAGGAAATTTAACCTCGGACGGGCAGAAATAATTTGGAGGGCACACTGCACACACCTTCCTCGTTCCATTCCTTTGCTCCCAATAATGCAAGGTGGAAGAGAAGACGAGGGGGACACCAAACCAAAGGGAGAAAAGTGCTATACTATACATAGGCGTTGCTAATAATTCTAGAGAGCACAAGCGGCGGTGCCGGTGCCGGTGCGGTGGCGCTTCCTCCATCGCCGATTCGCCATGCATGCATGGGCCCCGTTATCTGACCGGCCGCTTCAATTCAATTCGATTCGTGACACAGCTACTGCCTTTCCTCCCGCCCTCCTCCGGCCTCCCTCCCCACCTCAACGGCCGGCGGCGGTTCGACGTCGACCGTGTGGAAGGGAGAGGCGCGGCGTGGGGCTTGCAGTGCATAGTGTCGCCTCATCAATGCGCAGATGCACGCATTTCGCCGTTGCTCCGAGCACTCAGAGGTTCCATTCCTCTGATCCCCTTTCTCTCTTCGTTTGCTTTATTTTTGTTTTCTTTTTTATCATTCATTCACTGCACTGCATCGGCTTGGCGATGGTGTTGACATTTGATTCTGTACGTAGGGTTGCAAATTGATGAATCTAGGGGTATATGTCCGTTCACCAAACATATTTAGTGGTGTTTCAAAATAAGAACAGTTTTTTTGGCTAAGCATGCGGGCCGAGCCTAGCTCGGGTGGCAAGTGCCCAGCGACCGGAGTTGGATCCCCCAGGGAGCAGAATTTCCGTCGCGCACAAAAAAAATCCCCTCGCTGTGCACGCGAGCCTGGTGACTGTGTCGGCAACGGTGCGCCTCTTGCAACGCTGGCATGATGGTCTGTCCCGGTTCACTCGGCCCTTCGGGGTATGTACCAGGGTTCGGGGATTTTCTCGACCGGGGTCCTACGGTCCCTTCCTAGAACATTGCCGTGATGATGGTTCTTCCCTTACCGGTTGAGTTTTTTTTTTTTTTTTGGCTAAGCATCGGTCTTGCAGAGAGCGTCATTTGGTTTCATTTTAAGTCAAATCATTTTAAATTTGACAAAATTATATCATTAGGTCCATGGAATATATTTGACAGAACCAAAATATCAATTCTTAACCCTACGATTCGGTCGGTTGCTTTGTTGGTCATGAAAACCAACATACGTGTTTATCTTGCTGCCATTTTCTTGGGTTCACTGTTTTTTTTCTATTATGGTCGCTTAAGCTAATCTATTTCTATTGTATGATTTCAGCAAAAGAGTAAAAGGAAAATATTTATATAATAAATTAATAATACCCACGAACAACCACCTTTTGGAGAGACAGCCAGTGGGCAGTGTCTATTTTTCCTTGTGAGTGCCCATGCATGTGCCAGCATTTGACCCACTGTACTGACCTAATTAGAGACAAAAATCATATGTGCCGCATGTGCACGCAATTACAATAATCAACCGAAGATCTACGAACCTTAGGAGCAAGCACACGCTCGTAGATTATTATCTCCATCCCAACAGGCAACAGGTCTAACCACCACTCAGTTTTGTACTCGTTTCTGCAGAGGACTAATATTTTGCAGCATATTTCTGTCATTACAAAACTCATTATTAAAGTAATTAATAGTTGCCCGGAATACCTTAAACTTACACCCAAATGGTGCATTATATTCCTGAATAGATGAATAGTTTCTCTCAAAACAAAGATTAATATGCTGTACACAGAAAGGAAAAAGAATGCAGCAAGACAAATTATTCATAAATTGTTGCAGGCATTGATACCTCTATTATTCCCTAATTCATTTGCCCAGCATATAATAGAATTCATTTGTTCAGGTATCAATTCTTTCCAGCTCACTGCTGGCTGTCCGATTGATGATTCTCGAATATCTCCTTCTCTTTGACCTTGCAAATCTTTCAAAAAATGTAGATATACCTGCAAATTAAACACGGCATCCATTCATTGCATAGTATAGTATCCCCTACCGACAGTACAAGACAATCTGCTTAACCATATTTCTCTTCAACTGCAAAATCTTTCTTCAATATGCATACTGAACAAGAACCTTCCCTGAAGTTCAGAGTGGCCTAATTATTTGTCCAGGAATATTTGATATAATTAGAACAATTCCTATAACACAGAATGCCAACCTACCAACGAGCACATGATCCATAAACTAGTACACCAATCATGAACCTAGAACACTATATAGCAGAGCAGCTGCAGGTTCCTCCAACGCCCCACCCTCTCCTTTGTAGGTCTTCTTTTTTCAACACCATTTGCGTTTCTTGGATTCAATCTGGTAATTCTCCATTCTGCTTATCCAGATTTCTTGGTACATTGCCCCCACATTTGTCTGTCTAGTTGAGAATACCATCTTTGGTGCAGGCAGATCTTTTCAAGCTCGCTTAAAACATACATCAAACAGAGTTTCTTGTGATTGCAGGTTAGGATTTCATTTGTACCTCCACACAGTGTAGAGTCTGAAGGTGAATTACATTAAAAGAGTACTGAAAAATACCAGAAACAACAACCACACACAAGTATCCACCATGGGTTCCTGTACTTCCAAGTCTGCCCTTGAGCATAGGAGGCCAGCGAGGTATTACACCAGAGGGCGAAGAGTCCGCAGCCGTCGGTCCATCATGCCAGAGGCACCCCAGTCACAACAGTTGAGCGATCCCAGAGGACGCATGACCGGCTTCTCCATGAGCGAGATTGTCCATGTGGAGACGGCCAACCGAGGCAAGTCAGAGCATTCCAAGACATTCCACCTTACGCAGATGGAGTGGCACCACAACCAGAGGGACTCTAAAGGTAAAAGTTAATTTAAGCTGATAAGCAAGAGGCAACAGATCAACCAGATTTTCTCATACCGTTGTAGGTTGCAGCAATGAAGATGCCTGGTTTGATTCTGTCAGTATCCTTGAAGATGATTCTGATGATGAATTCAAGAGTGTCAATGGAGGTAATAAGAATATTAGAAACCTTTAGGAATGGCCACTGTGCAAATTGATGTCTTGGTAAGGTGTACCTGTAATGCTGAAGGTTTGAACTCTCCTGCAGATAGTTCGGACGAAGATGAGGAGCAGAAGAAGCAATATGAGAGCGCTTCCAGTTTTGCTGATGCACTCTCTCGCATTGGAGACATGTGCCGTGGTGTGCCCATGACATTATCTGTTGAACAGTACCTGAGAAAAGATAATAGTATGGACAATCGTATGTCAAAAGAATAAGCATCACAAAGATTTAACATCTACACCTTTATCTGATATTCTTGCATTGAAAGGTGATGATCCTGGACGTAGGAGCCAAAGCATGTCCGTGCGTACCAGCAAGTGCATACCATCCTCCTTTAGCCTGAAGGGCTTGAAGGATAAAAATGATACAGATGATGATAACAGGGAGAACTCCACGCCATCCCGCTTACGCCAGCTGCTGCACTCTATCAGCTTCAATGACAGGATGCAGCAGCTGACAGGTGGCAGCCCTGCAAAAAAGAAATCCACAGTCATCCGGCTCTCATACAAGACAACATCATGTGATGATTATGAAGGCAGTGGTGAATGCAGTAAGTCCAGTGTCTGTTTCGGTTTGATAATCCTCTCAGCTAGCTAATGTGCAAAGTCTCATTGTAGGTAAATCTAAGAAATATGTTGTCCGTCCAAAGGTAGGGCAAACAATCCCATATGGAGGAGAGAAGCCAACAACAGGATGTTGGTCACGGATTGATCCATCCCTCTTCAAGTTGAGGAGTGAGACATTCCTAAAGTATGCCAAGAAATTCACAAATAATGCCATCAAATATGTTAATCTGTAAGCATGAGCATGAGCTGTACAAACCGAACCTCTGATCTCAATCTTTTCAGAGATAAGAAGAAATGTGCAGCTCCAAACTATGCTGCTTATTATCCAATAGGTGTTGACCTGTTTGCCTGCCCCAAGAAGGTTCATCACATTGCTCAGCACCTCGACCTTCCACAAATCAAAACACACCCCAAGCTCCCATCACTTTTGATTGTGAACATCCAGGTATTCCCCTACAGATTGCATGGAAGTAGGTATAGTATAGTTGGCTATTATGTAATGTTCTGAAGTTACAAGCTTTCGTTTTATTTCAATCGCAGATGCCTACCTATCCAGCTGCGATGTTCCTCGGTGACAGTGATGGAGAAGGCCTAAGCCTCGTCTTGTACTTTAGGGTATCTGAATACTATGACAAAGAGGTTTCTGAACATTTCAAGGAATCCATCATGGTTGGTCCTTTTCAGTCCACCATCTGTACTTATCAAACACAATTATTTCCTGTGGTCTAATACAATCTTTCTGACAACAGAGATTTTTTGAGAATGAAACTGAGAAGGTAAAAGGGTTTACGTCAGAATCTACCATCAGTTACAGAGATCGACTGAAAATCATGGCTGGATTGGTCAACCCAGATGACCTCCAGTTGGGTTCTACAGAGAGGAAGCTTGTCCAAGCATACAATGAGAAACCAGTGCTCTCACGGCCCCAACATAATTTCTACGAGGTACTGAATGATGTTCCTTGTTTGTAGCACACTCGATGTCATTAGGTGGTTATCAGATTGTAAAGGTACGTGAAAAACCACCAGTTAATGTTTGACATCTTACATCACCAGGGAGAGAACTACTTTGAGGTAGACCTTGACATACACCGGTTCAGCTACATTGCTAGGAAGGGACTGGACTCATTCAGGGAACGCCTAAAGAATGGCATCCTCGATTTGGGGTTAACAATTCAGGTAAGTTTCCCTTTAGACTCTCCAACAAAAAAGCTATCAATCTTCTTCAGCTTCTCCTATTTATTTGCATACATATACAACTGTTGTCCTTGTTATGTACTCCTCTTCTCTTATTATCTTATATTTGCATGTGAGATAAATTACAGATTTTCAACAAATACAGTTAAATTGTTAATCATAGAGTTCACCACAGTTTTATGTAGCCAATTTTGCACCAAAAACTCTATCTTATGAACGAATAATTAACACTGCAGATTATTATCTGGCATTACTCTTGAAATATCTTATTCAATCCATCTAAATTTCATTTCATCATTACAACCTTGCAGGCCCAGAAACAGTCAGAGCTCCCTGAGCAGGTCCTCTGCTGTGTTAGGCTGAACAAGATTGATTTCACTAACCAAGGAGTTCCAACAATAGTCGGAACTGATGACAAGTGACCCATTTGATCAGTCATCACATGTGAGAGCCATTAATTGGAAGGCTAGATCCATTGAGTTCAGATAAAAGGAACCAAGAAAAAACTGATGCCTCCACATCTTAGTTACTGCTTAAAATGTTCACCGTTCTGCCTACTTTTAAGCACGGAAAATTTTCCTGTAACTGTAATAATGTATATACAAGCCGATACAACCCTTCGGGTGTTGGTCAAGATCCTAACCTTTTCCACTCCACTTGCTAGTTACAATCTGCCTACTTTCAGATGCAGAAAAACATTGAACCTGACAAGATTCAAATGTCCATGCATTAGACAGACTGAACATTCATAGTAAGATTCTGACAGAAGTTGCGGGCGCGCCTGTCAGGATGTTAAAACTTTGTAAGCTTTTGTTCCGGACCTTCCCGTAATAAAACCAGAGGTAACCTGTTTTCTAAAAAATAAAATAAAACATTCAGACAGAAATCAGGCAGGTGCCTGCTTTCTGACTCAGGACACAGACTGAATGCAGTGAAACCATGGAGGTGTCACCGCCTGTTCTAGTTTTAAGCCTCCAAGCCAAGAAGAAATTGGCAGCCGAATTTATCTTGAGCTGAATGCATGTGTGTAAATAATAAAATAAACATGAGAAAATGTGAAGAACATTGAGCAGCAGTGATGAGAGAAGAAAATCAGAGTGGCCAAAAGTGAAGGACGGACCTCGTCGTATTCAGCGACCGAGCAGCAGCAGCAGGTGACTCGTGTCTCGCGGAAGGCAGTAAGGCATCAGTCATGAACAACCACATGTTCCCTGCCGAGGCAACCGAGCAGAACATGTCGTCCTGGCAAACGGGCGCTCGAAGTCGAAACGGAGCGGCGTCTGCACGGGCGGACTCGGACCTACGGGAGTACGGGACAGCGAGGGCCCCGACCCCGAGCGACCGGTCGACAATGAGAGTGGAGGGCGCCGCAGGAGGCGGTGGCACACATGCGTGTCCGGGCGGGGCGACGACAGACAGGCGAGGCGGAGGCCGCTGTCCCGGGGCGGCATTTTGTCGAGCACGTAGCGGGCTGTGTGAGACCAGTGTAACGTGAACAATGACAGACGAGGGCTCCCGGATTCCCCAATAGCACCGTGCCGCTTCATCGTTTCTGGGTCTGCTACCCTACGGAATAAGGATGGCCTCGCCAAGGAGACTCATCGGAGATACTCCCTCTGCCTCCGATCTCAGGGTCACCGTTGCTTTCCGTGCTAAAAATTTAACTTATTTATAGAAAATACGTGTACTCCCTCCGTACCTAGATTAGTTGTGGTTCTGGGCTCTAGGCCTGTTTTCACAAAGAGTGTCGTTGTTGCAGTTTGCGGTTGATGCTTGACGCGTTTACCCCTGGCCAAGCCACCTGTTGCGCTGCGCGTCTGTTCCGCTGCTGCATTCAACGCGCGCGTGCTCTCCTCGTTCATCGCCCGCATTCATTGCTCGCACGCGCGCCTCCCGTGACTCCCTTCTTCTCCGCAGCCGCTGCACGCTCTCCCACAGCAGCTCGCCTCCTTCATCTCCCTCAGGACGCTCGCCGTTGGACGTCGCGGTGCAGGACGTCTCGTCGGACTCCATTGCGCCTCAGGACGTCGAGCCGCTGGACAAAGTCGAGATGGCGCCGTAGGAGGTGCCGGACTCCGTCGCGCTGGACATCGTCGAGGCTCTGGACTCCGTCGATGAGGTGCCAGACTCCGTCGAGGTGGTGCAGTGTCCTCGCTGCGGCACGTTCCACGCTAACGGCGTCTTCGGCGAAGCCTGCTTCCAAGCTCGCCGCGAAGCTCGCAGGTGTGCCCGTTGTGGCCTTTTACATGAAGACTACGATCTGCCAGCAAGGTGGTTGCATAAGATGGAAAAGTTTGATTGCGAGGTCTACATTCCCGATGTGGACAAACTTCAAATGAATGGTAACACAATACTTCTTCCTGAGCACGTTGTCAAGAAGTTGGAGGAGAACTTCAATACGAAGAAGTTGGAAGAAGCAAAGATGAAGCAACAGTGCCATGCAAGAGTGGACGACAGCATACAAGATCAGTAAGGTGCACAAGCTAACATACATGCATAAAATAATTTGTTCATACAATTTGGTGCAAAAGCTAACTTGCTTCTTCTAACGGTTTCATGCAGGAAGACTAGCAAGTGCTTCAGCTAGCAAGAAAGCTTCACAAGACATTTGCAATGGCAGCCGATCTTCTCTCTCTAGTCTCTGTTTTTACATGTGAGGAATCTTGATCTTGTTGCATCCTTTTATCTTCATGGCTTCCTTCAAAACACTTTGTAGTGTCGCGAAGGTCCTATTTGCTTTGCGTGGTGAGTACTCTAGGAATGCCTATAGAAACATGTGTTCAAGAAATGAATCAATGAGTACTCCATTTAGTAGTTCAAGAAACAATGTACCAAGTGAACATGTTATCAATTTACCTGTTGCACGGCTGGAACTAAATCTTTAATTGTTTTTGCATCCTTCTTGTACTGAATAGCTTGAATAGCACGAAAAAACCCCCAAGTCTAGAATGTTGAAATTCGAAAAATTGGGTGGTTGACAAATAAGCCGAATGTCAAACCCATCTTACTTAGCAGTCTCACAAAAAACAGGATCATCCACTTTTAAATGAGAAGGTGCATTATCTTGTTGTATGAAATTGGCTTGTTCACATCTTCTCTTGGCCATTTGGCCCGAATGGCAGGCAACACTTGATTTAGCATGAAATCTCTAATCACACCCCTTGTGATTGAAGTTATTGGCTCGATAACTTCTTCACCACGAAGACGGTTATGACTTCTTCTAATAGCTTGTTCATAAGTGACAAGTGGAAAACAACCGATTTTCCCATCAAAAATACACTCTCCATTTCTAAATCTTGGCCGAGCACAAACATACAAAAACATGATCCTAGGAATGTAATTCTTGTTCTTGCAAGTGCGATGTGGTTCATCTTCCTCGGGTAGCAAGTAGTAGTTCTCAGATTTTTGAGAGAGGTAGAACCATTTCTCATCAATGAACACAAAGTCAAAAAAATCCTTAAACTTTGGATCACCAACCAAACCATGCTCAATCATGTCAATGCACCACTTCAACCTAGTCTTTTTGTTAGCATCAGTGAGGTAAGGTTTGATGCTACTTGTAACACCCCAGGTGTTTATCACCAGTTAAGCAATAGGTTTGAGCTCAAACATGACATGTCAAGTGGTAATCAAGGTGTCAAGATCAAATCTACATGATGGAGCTCCAACTTAAACTTGGGCCACGCACATTGCTTACATATGGACCCTTGTTAAGATTATGCAAGAGTAATGTTAAACATGCTTATTCCATGTACATTACATCCCCATGCATCCATCTAGACCCGTGGAAAAGTTTCATGAAGTTTGGAATCAAAAAGTCACATGAAATGATAAGTCATATCTTGGCATGAATTGCTTTATCAAGTGGATGGAAACCTATGAAGTCAACCAAACCTTGGTACCTTGCTCAAACAACTCTACTTGCACTCATGAACAAAAGTTATGAAGGGTTCATGTTGAGCAGGTGGCCAGAAAATGCTCCAATGGATCAAAAAGGATAATTTAAGCTTCATCGTGATCCTACTTTGGTCAAAGTAGAACAGTAGGTTCTATACCAGTTTTGAAGTTGCACCTTAAATAAAAGTTGAAGATTGAGTAGAGTAGAACAAACTTTGTTTTTGGAGCAAGAGCCAGATCAACTTGGAACTAAGTCAAATAGAGGCTCGAAAATTGAATCAGCGGCTGTTTTCAGACTTAGAATTTTTCCAAGTCTGGAATTCATCGTCGTCGCCATTGGCATTCCGCGTTCTCCAAATTTTGCTAAGCAACTTGAGTTGGTCCAAAAATAAAAGTTGGAGATAATTATTTGGAGAAGAGGATACCCAAAGATGGGATCAATTGGACCAAGTTTGACTTCCCAAAATGAACAAAAACCGAGCTTTACTTTGATCGACATTAATTCATTGACAGTGTCAAATTAGGGCCTAATTATCTCTTAATCCTTTGCTCTAATGGCTATGAACCTTTAACAAAATTTGTAGAGCATCGGATGGAGATCAAACTTCGTTAAAGGCCCACCATCAAATTCCCAACCGAACCAGCCCAAAAACGGCTTCCAAGACGCGCTGGATCACGCTCGCCACCTGCTCGTCAAAATGCCGACGCGTGGCCAGGGCGTGGCAGCCATGCGAGCCGAGCGCCCCCACCTCCTGCCACGTGCCTTGCCTCCTCCTCGCGTTTTGTGGACGCTGAGCCGCTCCCAGACGCTCCGCGCCCCCCACTGCTCGCTCTCCTGGCCTCTCTCCTCGTCCTTGCTCGCGTCCGCCATTGATGGCCGAAAGCAGAGCTTCGCCGCCATTGCAGCCCGTTCTCGCCGCTCCCGGCTTTCTCACTTCCCACGAGCACCACCTCGGCGCGCCGCCATCTCCTACACGCCGCGTGCTCATGCTCGCCGTCCAAAACCACGCTGGGAGCACTGCTGCGGTCATTGCCGTCGCCGCCGCTTCCGGCGCGGGGTGCTCATGGCGATCCACCACAGCATCGCCTCGGCCATCCAAGACCACTCGGCCGAGTGCGGGAGGACACCTGGTGCTCCTCCTCCACTTCCGCCGCCGTTAACCCTCCTCCGGGGATTCATGAGCCCCGACGACCTCCCTGTTCAAAATCCCGTCAGGGACCTCCTACAAAAATTCGACGAAAGTCGGGGTTCTAATCTGCTTGAAGTCGGTGACTCGAGATGAATAGTGCCGATAAGGACCTATTTGCGATAAATTTGCTGAATCTTTGGAAATTCATAGTAATTCATAGGAAATTCGTAAAATAGCAAATGAGGACTTTTTGGAATCCTTGTGAAATTCTCTACGCAATAGATCTATAATATTACATGTTTTACTTTAAAGTTTTAGCTGTAAAAATATATTTATGCAGCTAGATTTGTAATGCTAGTGGTATTTGTCTTTTTCATAACTGTAGATCTAGGGCT